TTCAGCTATTATGCCGCAGGAAGAACGGAATATTTTGACAAAAACGGAATAAAGCATCTTTAGCTTGTTATTCACATGCCGATATTTCTTTTATGTCATTTTTAATGTTTGAAGTATTAAACGTGTGAATCAATACAATCCTATACACAAATCTTCCACTGATTCCGCTTGCGGGCCATGTTTTCAAGATTATTAAGTCATTGGCACTTCTCATCTTTAGGCGCTCATCCTGGAACATATACTGGTCCAACAACGGCTAGACACGACGTCAGGGATTACATGTGCTGTCGCCAAAGTGCAAGGCTTAACACCACGCGGTCGCTTCTAGCCAGGTCCTTGACGAGCGAATAGAGCGCGATGCGGTAGACGCTCAGGCGCCATGCGTAGGAGGTGACCAAGCCATCTCAACTGACGCAGCAAAACCAGTTTGTTGAAGGTAATACTCGTATTCCTAAAGAGGTGACGTAGAACGTCACTACTGCTAACTCGATGTTACTACCAAACACAAGCAATCCTCCTTAGCAACCGTTATCGAAGACAGACAGATGACGCATGTCTCCCACGCGAATCGGCCAGGGCTCGCTCCCATACAACACTGAGCGAATAGGTGCGTTGTAAACGCGGCCCTTAGCGAGAATGAGACATCGCGACGACGCCACAATTGCCTCAGATTAGCAAATGCTGATGGGGCTTTAGCGATGCAAAGAGCAACTTCTTTGTTGATAGTGCCGTCAGCAGAAATAGCCCCCAAGGTTGACGAAACTATCTACCTGTTCAAGTTGTGCACCTTCGAGAGTGAGTACGGGAGCAGGTGAAATCCAATCCTTGAGCAGTACTTTACACTTCGATGAGGCAAAGCTCATGCCATACTTAGATGCTTCAACCGCCAAACGATCCAGAATGTGTTGCATACCCTGAGGATCGTCATCAAGTAAGGCGATATCATCAGCGCGCTCACCCGGTAGAAGCTCTAGGTCAAAATGTTGGAAACCTTCTAGAGCATTCGACAAAACCTCTTCGATTGCGAAGTTGAAGAGGAATGGGAACATAGGGCAGCCCTGTCGCACACCGCTATTGACAGCGAATTGCGAGGAAAGCTTGCCATAGACCCTCACTCTGCCGGACGTATGAAGGTAAAGTGCTCGTAGGATTGCGGTGTATTTCGCTGGCACCCCGTTCTTTAGTAAGCAACGCCATAAAGCAGGACGATCAACGGAGTCAAAAGCGGCACGTATGTCTAGAAATGCAATGATGGTGGGCCTGCGATAAATGTGGCGATGTTCGAGGAGCTGGCCTAGCGTGAAGATTTGATCCACACATCCGCGGCCACGACGGAAACCAGCTTGTTCTTCGCTACACAAATGGATCAGAAATTTCCTTGTGGATCGAAAGCTGAGAGTCCAGGTGGACAACCATCTAACGGACTGGTATCCATCTAGTAGCGGCGTGCCCCAAGGCACTGTACTGGGGCCGATATTGTTTCTGATCCATGTAAACGATGTGCCTAAGCTACTCCAATCACCATGTGCGTTGTTCGCAGATGACTTGAAGGTGTGGAGAGTAATCCGCACACTCAATGATTGTGATTTACTTCAGCAGGATCTCGACAGCCTCTCAACATGGTCTGCAGAGGTTAACCTTCCGATCAACCCTGCTAAGTCGCAATTCATGAGGTTGGGTAAATGCGAGCACAGCCGAACGTACACAGTGGCTGATCAACCGCTGCATCCCGCGTCTTTCGTGCGCGACCTCGGTGTGCTCTCACGCTGCGACCTAAAGTCCATTGACAACACGAATAGGCTGTACCAAAACAGCCTTCGGATGCTTTGGGCGCTCAGGCGCAGCTTCAGCACTTGGTCCGAAGAGATTGCCACTCGCCTCTTCGTCTCGATAATACGACCAATGCTAGAGTACGGCTCTCCCGCATATTGTCCCATCACGCTGGGCGAGGTAGAAAAGCTTGAGCGGGTGCAGCATGTAGCCACTAGGCTGATTCCCAACTTACGAGGTATGCCATATGAAGACCGATGTAAGAAACTAGGGCTGTACACCCTAGCATATCGTCGGCTGAGGGTTAACCTAATCATGACGCACCGGATATTACATCTGAGTGATTACCCCATGTTGAGACAACTGCTTCATCTGCGCACACCAAGCAGCACGCGAGGACACCGGTACAAACTTATCGTACCGCAGTTGAAGCGGGTAGCTCACCAACACTGTTTCGAACGTAGAGTGGTGAATACCTGGAACAACCTGCCGCAGCCGGTAATAATGGCGAATTCAGTGGCCGAATTTAAGGAGCTTCTAGACAAACACTTTGCAGAGGCAAAATACCGAGAGCGGAACGATAACTAATACGTTAATGTCCAAGAGCGACAATTGATGCAGCTACACAGAGAATGCTCTACTCGCTGCTTCTGATCAGTATCAGTATCACGGTAGTATGATTCACGTACTGGGGATAGCCTGCGAAGCAGAATGGATGCCAATAGCTTAGAGGCAACCGAAATAAGACTAATCCCGCGATGATTTGCACACGAAGTGCGAGCACCTTTCTTGAAAATCGGGACAATAACCGATTCGCCCCAAGAGGAAGGCACTTTATCCTAATGCCAAGTGTTTGCAAACAGCGTGGTCAGCTGGTTAATGGTCGCCACACCACCGTACTTGAATAGTTCCGGAGGAAGTCCGTCTAAGCTGGCAGCCTTGAAGCGCTTCAAGCGTCGAATCTCGAGGCAGACTTCCGCTTCGCTGGGTGGATTCAGTGGGACGAGCCAAGGTGGACAACTAGGTGTGCTGTATGTACTGATGGACGGTGGAGGCCAGTTAAACTGCGAGTGAAAGTGCTCGGCCCAGCGGTCCATGCGCCTCTGTTGGTTGGCTATCGGAGACCCATTCACCTCGCAAATAACCTCACTGGCACCAGACTTCCTGAGGCCAGTGGACCGAATGAGTTGGAAAAACTTGTGAGTGTTGCCAGAGAGGGCAGCAGTCTCCATCTCTAAAACACGCTCACACCACCATGCTTCGCAATCCTTGCGTAGGCTTTGCTTGAGCAGCCGGTCGGCAGAACGGCGCCGCTCGTCGCAGTCTGATTCCGCCGGGATATCTTTGTGGCGTTCGAACAGCTCCAGAAAACGAGCAGAGATCCAAGCCTTTAAGGGGCGTCGAGTTAGGCCGCAGCTTGACTGTCCCGAAATGGTCATCGCTTTCTGTATACAAGTCCAGTGTTGCTTTATGTCTTGCGGTGGATTGCAACTGAGTGCGTATGCCAGTGAAGACTCATAACTCGCCTGGACATAGGAATCAGTTAATCTGTTTACATCAATCTTGCGCTGCTTCGTGACTCCCAAAACACATGCAGATTTTCGCGCAGACCAATGCATGATCTGAGTCAAGCAAAGTGGACCAAAAGAACCTGCAGTCCAGTACGCTGCCACGCCATCTGAAGCTAACTGCAATGTGATGAATTTGAGACCACGGTTGTGTTGGCGAAGGGGGATGCCACGTTGCGGAACGCTTCTCCGTACACCTGAAGTTAGTGCTCGAGAGAAACAGATGACTGTCTTCGCACAATGTGAGAAGTCTCTCTCCGTTATCAGAGCGGTTCTCATAGAGCACGTGATGACCACCAAGGTGGCGTTCGTATGGTAACAGGCGGCCAACCCGTGCATTAAAATCCCCAGCAAGGACAAGGACATCCGACATTTTAGCATTAGTCAAGAGCTGATGTAGATCTCGGTAGAATTCGTCCTTGACCGAGCCGCCACTGCAGTCAGTTGAAGCGTACATGGAGATCACAAACAAGTTGCGTCTCTCTTCGCGGCGCTTGTTGATTCTACATGAACCCCGAAGCCGAACTGCACATGGCCAGCTGTTAATCGGGAACCAGTCCAGTAGTGCCGCCTCGGTCTTGTCACTTAGTGCTATACCTACACCAGCCAAACCCACTGAGACTGCTTCTGGATCTCCGGAAAAACGCGGGTGATATCTGGCTTCGTGGACAGTGGGGGATGTCAATGTAAGCACAGTGCTGGAATCTTGCAATCGGGTTTCTGCAAGGCAGCAGAAATCAATATCGAGGGACGCTAGGGTGTGAGCTAGACCGGATTACTGTCCAATCGGCATGAGTGTCCGAACGTTGAAGCATGCCAGAGGGAACGAGGATCGGGGACGAAGAGCCGTAGGTTGAATTCCGTTGTTCGCGGCGTAAACGGAATAGCAGTGAGATTGCTGAACACATGAATTGGGTGACGGAAAGTAAGGATTGTTAGCAAACAAACAATTGGCGTGGGATGAAGTCGCGTGACTGTGAAAAGCAGAAACAGTAGCTGATGAGCACGTTGTCGTACACTCCATAGTTTTGTGAGAGGGCGTGATACTACCCGGTTTCCCAAGCCGAAGCAGGGAGTTGAACTAGGGGACCCCACCCCGAGCCTTTGACTAAATAACCTACCCGCAAGACAGCGGAGCGAATTCAGGGAATCGCGCCCATTGGGTGGCGCTGACTGAATGACCAGTTTATGCGCCTTTCGTTTGGTAGATCACAAAACAGGGCCCAGTAGTCCCCATGAAATCAACACAACTGCTGGATTACATGCCCCACGGAGGTGGAACACTGTCGCCGAACACTACGCTGGAACGGGGTACACCCGAACCACCAGGCTGGCATCACGAGGAGTAGTTCGGCAAGCCAGGAAGGTTTCGAAGTCGTAAATACAGAGTTGTGGATAATTATTTGTGACCACATTAGAATATATTAAATAGCTCTTCAAGCCGGATTAATATGCAACATAAACCTGAGGCGGTATAGAAGTGTGTACTGTCTTCTACTTTTCACACGGAGTACATCAACTATAACTGCCCCCATGTTGCCTCGTCCTTCGCATTCAATCCTCACTTTACTATTATTCAGCGGCGTATCTGCTCAATAAACATTATCTTTTGATATTGTAGTTTTACCCCTACCATCCCAGAGGGACTTGTCAAGCAAATGCTTTTATACACGTGATAAATCATTGTGTATTGTAATATAACATGTCAGGCAAAGTGGGAAGGTACATGGTGGGAAGGAAAAATTCAGTTGCCAGTTCGTTCAATAAATAGAGGTTCAAGCCGGACAAAATAAACTACACGCGAGGCGCGAGTAGGTTAGGGTATAAAAATCACGGAGAAAATGTGTGTTTGCTCCAACGAATAAGTTACAATTTCGACAGCACACGAAAAAGATCTGGTTACGGAGAATAAAGAGTCGTTGGAATGTGTGAAGGAGCGACAGTTGGTTGAGCGACAAAGTACAGTCGGTTAATTAGTATCAGGCGAGGTGCCCCCTAACAGGGACTTGAATGCAGTTGAGAATTTGGTCAATGTTGTCGAAGATGAGGCGGATCGGAAAGCGGCGTCTAAGTTGGCTGCGCGAAGGGAGGGGAACATATATGTAAGGTAAATGTAAGAAAACAAAAGGCAAAAGATGGACAAATGTTGCAAATTTCAGATTGTTTAGTAGCACACGGAAGCGTAGCCGATGCTTCAGTAACCTGTTATGAATAAATCACTATTTCAAAACTTTTAAGTGCATCGAGGAACTTGCGAGACAAAGTGAAATAGATCAAAACTATGTGCACCCAACCGGATGCATGGATTTGAAAACTTGTAGTTTCAACATATACCTGGATACAAGGTAAATTAACACAATCAATAACAATGCGTCAGCAATTCGAACTGTTGCTTTGCAGGCATCCAACCATGATCACAATATATGGGCAAGCTAAATCGAACATAACTAAAATAGAATATGAAGGAATATGAGATTGTCAAACATAAAACATACAAACAGTCAAATATAGAGTAACAATCGAGCCAGAAGGGACTAATTATCCTTGGCGTAGGTGGAAAGGGCGAACGGCCATTTGGTTAGGCAACCAGCGCTGTCTCATATTGCAAAACAATGCTCAAGAAGTAGACTGGAACATAACCAATCAAATACCACTCGTGTTTCGGTCAGTGGTGTATGCAGACAGTTACGATTGCACAAGCTAGGACCTGTAGCGCCCCACAAGATAACTATTACCTTTTGTGTACAATTTCGCTGATGACCAATTGTAAACTATTATTTCTTGTTTTAATCTCCCATACATTATGTCCATGTTGACCTACATCCGGCTCGACACTTGACCGTCTTGTAAGTTCCCGCGCTCACGTTTGCCTCTTGTCTCGTTTCATTCGTCCGCGTCTTCATGTAGCCCATCGAATACAATCCGCTGTGTCCGACTCCAACTGACTTCTGATATCTGCGCTTAATTTCGTGCACCGTCTCGGACTAGTATTTACTAGTCCCACGGACCGCCAGCTAGCTATTGGCGCGACGGGAATTCTATCAAACGCAGCAGTCTGGGTAATTCAGAGAAACGCGGACATTGGGGACAGCGACAAAATGCCGAACGGCATCCGAGACAAATGGAATTCAGCCCATGAAGCAGTACCGAGCAAAATGATGAGCCAAAGACAATGCGGCACAATAGCGGAGGTGTTTTCCTACCTCTAGCTGTTGTGTACAATGATAATGATGAGACTATGCGACTCCACGGATAGGCATCACTGAATGATGTATAAATGGTTTTTTGTTGTTAGACATTGACAGAAGCCCCCAGCATACGCTCTGCCACACAACAAGGTAAGAAAAAGAAGAAACAGGAAGAAAATCAGCATGCCGTCAACAAACATTGCGATATCGACTCTATTGATGACAAAAACATCGCTGTCCGAATATTGCTGATTGCGGAAAGTAACTGGACTTCATTATCATGGGATAGATAGACAACCAGCCATTGAACTACAAGCTGGTATTGTGCCGAAGTGCTACTATAGTCCAGGCAAAACGCGTATTGAAGCCAGTCGAATCTAACGCACAACACCAACAGCTCGGTACTATGCGCAGCAATAAGAAGATACGGCGAACCTTGTGAGGGCCAGACCAACAAAACCTACCAATTTGTTGACGGGAACTGTGCAGATGCAGAATCAGTTATCATTCATTTTATCGAGCTGGAATTTCTGGTAAGAATTTTCAGTCGTGAGTAGCTGCGTGATTCGCAGACAAGAGATAGAATTACAGGGATAAATAGGGAACGAAGACATCCCGAAATTGGCCGCATTAAAGTAACTTTCGAGGCAGAACAATTGTAGCAGAATTCATGTCAAAAGAACAGAACGGGAAAAGTTCCAGTTGTGTCCAGGTTTACACTGGTACCGCATTTCCAGTTTATTTCTATATTAACATGCTAAGCACTATGTGGTGAGGATTTGTAAACGTGGAAATAGCCGATCTTGTGACGGCAAAAATGCTCATTTCAATGTTGTGGCCGGAAATCAGGACATGTCGAGGAAACCAATGAGATTAGCACGTCATAATTCTAACAAGGGCATCTTCAGTATATTGTATCAGCTTGTATAGTAACAAGTGCACGCTCTTGTTAAAACGATGAGGTAACTGAGGTCCCATCTTTTCCGCATCCCCAGGCTTACGCTCGATGTCTTCGATTAGTTACTTCTCCACACTTTTTTACTTATTTTTTACTTATTTTATTTTTCCCCGAACATATCCCGCACGTATTTACTTGAAATTGAACGCTGCCGCTCTCCCCGAAACATCGCATTTTGCACTACCTACTGTGAACATATCAATCTCGTACGACATTTCGACGAATCTTTTGGCTGAACAATTTTCAAACTTACTGCGCTCTTTCAACTTGGCAGATTCCCTGAAAAAATTCTCAGATACTATGTATAACCGAAAATATATTAATCACATCTAAATGAAACGAGTGGCAAGACAGTTTCGACAAAAGCTGGACTTGTCAACAGGATAAAAATCTTTATGATCATCCCCATCACTATACCATCGTTGCCCAAACGTGCGGGGCTGTTTATCCGAATGACATCCGTCAACACTTTTCCTGTGATGTTTTGACATAGAGAGGAAACCAACTGTTTCAAGTTGCACTCTTTTATTACTATACAGTGCACCCTTCTGCATATGGCCTGTACATTTGTCACTAAGCTCGTCGCCGATCGCACGGATTGTGATTGTCAGCGCTGCTATCAGCATGCAGCAACGAGTACTGTCGATATGTCGAGGTCAGATATGCAATGAACAAGCAAGGAGCTGTTTGTGGGAGAAAGAATGGGACATAGCAGAGGCTTGAAGCGGACGAACAGTGTGTGGCCTGCTAATTAGGGCAGAATTGCATTTTCATTGGGTTAACAGCGGCGATCTGATTGACCAACCATTGCGTGGAAATGAACGGGCTATTTCCATGCTAGCCATAGTGCGCCTTAGAATGATTAGCATGCAAGTGTGGTAGCAAACAGGAGTCGTGGTAACGAGGGTCGCACTAAGACAAAGCCTTCACAATATGAATGGAAATACGGCGACGGTATTCTAAGTTGGCCAGATGAAGCCAGAGACACTATCTGAACAAGGTGCGGTTTATCAGTGTAAGGACCCTGTACCACAAGCTGCTTCAGCAGATGAGTAAATCCCATTATTGCAGCAGCAGAAGTCCGCCACCAAAGGAAATTCGTCCAGTCTGAGGAAAGATGTGCATGCTTGTAAACGATGTATTCCAGAGAATAAGGCGTGGTGCTTCTATTCTGGCGACATTAGTCGTCTATTCACAAAGTAATGTTAATGTTCAGGTAGCCGCACGCCTCTTTCTGGATAGCCCATCAACACTTGACTACTAGTGCCAACCGGTAGTATATATATATATATATATATATATATATATATATATATATATATATATATATATATATGTATTACAGACGAGATCCGATCAGAACCATGGCAAAATGAAAGACAATAGACGTATGAAAGAAAACAAGAAAAAATGAGAGTCCATTTTTTGGTTTTACACACAGTTTTAAGTTGTTTGCTTTTTAAATATGTAAATTTATACTTGAGATGAAGCATTAGTTAAAACGGCACAATACCGGCGCCACTGATATCTGTTATGTGCCATCACATCAAGCGTTTGCAACCACAGGATTTTCGAGTCACGTGGTCCCCAACTGGGAGACGCACTGATCCGACTGAAGCAAAACTTGCGACTGTTTTCTTCATGCTTATTTTTCATGTCACTGGTTGTCCACCGCGATACTTTTTCCATTCGCATCCGGGAAGCGCAAATAACGCTCGCCGAGGAAGGCGATAGGCTGGCATCCGCAGTACGTGGTCGAGCCAACGCATGCGGTGTCGGAGAACAACATTTTGAAGGCTGGGGCTGTTCGCTCCAAGCACTCGTTCACGAACCTCCGTATTGCTTATGTGATGTTACCATCACACATGAGCGATCCTTCGCAGACAACGGTTGCCAAAATTTGACAGTCGTCTCATGTCTTCGGAGTGAACAGGCCAGGTCTCACAGCCGTAAAGCAGGATCACCGTACGCACGGTAGCATTGTACACCCTGCCCTTGAGCTTGAGACTAACGTCACGACGCCATGGGTGTCTCAGTTTGATGAAAGCAAGGCGCGCTTTTGTAACGCGCTGTGAAACATCATCAGCAACACCGACACCAGCCGTGATGCGACTCCCTAAATAAGTGAAACAATCCACTTGTTCCAGAATATCACCAGCAATGGTAAGCGCGGACGCAGGCAATCCAAAAAACCCAGGAAAACATAACATAAAAACAAAATCATACTTTCAACATTCCCTATCGGTCACAGTGAGCAGCAGGTTTCCGGAATTTCTCACATGTGAAAAGCTACTGATTAATCTAGAAGGAAGATATGCTACGCTGTCACTGAGTGACTGATTCAACATTTAGTTGTGATAAATATCTATATCATGATTCGCGCCTATCGACACCTTCGCATTCGTAAAACAATTTGTTATTCCAACATGTAAACAGTTACCACAACCACATCTAATATCTTGGATTTCAAGAATCTACCCATTTACATTGTCAAGATTAACATTTGATCAAACAGCAAGTGTCGCACATCTGCCTTCTTTGGTGGGGCTCGTGTGACATCGAAAAGGTACATGGTATTTCCACTTTTAGGCTGTTATAGCTTATGGCTGCAGTGGGATAGTCAACGCGATTCAAGGAGTAACTAGACAGTTGTATGAAGGGGAGAGCTTACCATATAACAGCCCCCCACGTAAATTTATACATATTTATGTATATCTGCGTCATTATGATGATGGCAAAATTGTATATAACAACAGGAAAAAAGAAAAAAACGAGTGAAAAATGCATTGCTAACTTGCTTTAGGTCAAAACAGCACATGACCAGATGAGATGTGTAAGTGAAGTGTGGAAGCAGTTCTCTGGGAGACGGTTCCATGAAGAGTCGTATTACTTTACTTGAACTGACGACTATATCTACTGTTATTCCTACTCATAACCCTTCGATTATTTTACTACTTTTAAATGTTTGAACACCTCACACACTCCACTGAGAACACAACGAAACTTGAAAAATCGCTTTCCACTATCCTAGTTTGTTGTACCAATTGCTAAGGCTAGTATTCTGCCTGTCTCGCATGTCGAGAAATATATCGTTTAATTAATTAGATGGTTCTGCCTGTTGACAACAATTATGGGTAAAATCAACTTTCTAACGACCAGGAAAGCACCCGCTTGATTTGCCTCAATTGAGGCCGGGGCGTCCATAGTGTGAAATGGAAAGGCTATCGGTGCGCACGAGAGTAAATATATGACTGAGAAATCGTGTTATGTGTAGGTGTAGATTACGGAGACATCATTTATTGGTCGATAGTTATGTATCCCTAAGCCGCAGCACCGCACTACACGATTGCTTTTGCACTCATCAGGCACAGATGCCAGGACTACGACCCGAACCCGGGACCAGTGGGATTTGATCTCATGTCACTAATCCGAAGCCAACGAATCGCGGTGGGTGTTTGATGAGGCAATCGCACAAAATGCATCAATTGGAGATAATGACTGAGAAACATGCCATTGGTAACGCAAAACCAATATCGCATATCTACGTGAAAGCAAAAACGCCCACAGGTGAAGACACTACATCGGAAAGCAAAACGGAGCGAGCAATCTACCGATGAAGATGACAGGGTAGTAGTCCGTTGGTAATTGGAATAAAAATATCGATGGGGACGTAATTGCATCTCAGACTGGATAAGGTTGAGAGTTCAACGCCATTAGGCATAAATAAATAAAATTCAACCACTAGATTCCCCAAGTATAGAATATCCCAAAAAATGGAAACAAAAGAGCACAGGAATGATTCTCCAACTTAGAGAAAAGACGCTTACTCCCCAACTGGGTAAATCCTTGTGCAGTTCGGTTCACGAATCGTCGGCCACTATCCGTGGCTAATTCACGGATCCTGAAAAAATATAGGGATGAAGTATTATAAGCTAACAATACTGATAATTATCATTATTTATCAATATACACGTTAGATGGACGTGGAAAACACCTCAGCCATTGTAGCGTAACACATAAGAAAAAAACATGCAACTGAGGCACGCCAGCTGAGCTACCAGTAAGACGGACATTGCTCCGCAAAGCTACAAGTCGGCATTGTGCCGCAAAAAAATTATATTATGCAACATTTACAACATAGTAAGAAATGAGATCGGGGTTGGAGAGGAAGGCAAAGTGAGAAGGGCAGGGACAAAGAAACACAACACAAACGCCCCTGAGCTCGGCACCTACCAATGTCAACAAGTGTATACAGCCATAGGTATTCATCATCTTTCGGACCCCAACCAGGGAGACGAGACGCTCCAACTGAAGCTAGCTTCGAAGTGAGAGTCTTCATTCCTCTTGACCAAGCCATCAATTGACCACCTCTCCTCTTCTTCCACCCACATCCCGGCGAGAAAACAACTCACGTTGCAGGAGTCGGTAGCTGGCCTGCGCAATACATGGCCCAGCCATCGGAGCTTGGTGCGTGAAATAACGATGCTGAGCAGTTCGCTTCTTCTACCTACATCATAAACAAGGCGTCGAACACGCTCACTGCTCACACGGTGTTCCAACCAGATATTAGCCAAACTGCGAAGGCACCGGTGGTCGAACGTAATTAGTCCTTTATGTCCGCTGATCTAAGGGGCCAAGTTTCACAACGGTACAGTGGGGTCGAACGTACGGCTGCATTGTAAACGCTACCATTCAAGGAGAAAGTAATGTCGCACCGGCGTCATAGGTGGCGAAGGTTAGTAAAAACGGCTCGAGTTTTTGCTATACGGTTTATGACGTCGGCTTCGATTTCACAGGAGCTGGTATAACTGCCAAGATAGTTGAATTTCTTAACGAGTTCTAGCTGATTCCCACCAAGGGTCAGCGCTGTTTCCATGACTTTGTCAATAGCGAAGTTAAAGAGGAAGGGGGATAGCGGACATGTTTGTCGTACACCATTAAAGATATTGAAGAGCAGCAACAAGTTGCCGTAAACAATCACTCTGCCTGAGCTACGCGCGTACAGCGCTCTGATGATGTTTACGTATTTATCGGACACACCTTTTCTGAGTAGACAGTCCGAAAAGGGCACATCGATCAACCGAATCGAAGTCACTTTTGATGTCCACAAACACGATAACGGTGGGCCGTCAATATAGGTGACGGTGCTCCAACAATCGACATTAAGTGTATATGTGGTCGATGCAGCCACCACCTCGACGAAAGCCGGCTTGCTACTCATGAACCTTGTTATCACGAGTATCAGTCAGTTTGTGAAGGATGACAAAGGCAAGTAATTTGGAGACGATGGAGATCGAACTGATACGTCTACGGCTGCCACCTTCCGAACGTGAGACACCCTTGAAAATTGGGACTATGGCGGAGCGGCTACAGTCGGTTGGGACAGTTTCTTGCTCCCACAATTTCACTAAAAATTCGTGTAAATTATCAACAAGAGCAGCTCCCCCGAATTTGAAGGGAGCTGGAAGAAGATCATTTGGTCCCGCGTTTTTGTTTAATTCCAACAGTCCGATGTCACGTTCGACTTCGGAGCGAGAGGGCGGATCAAAAGGGACAGCACATGGAGCAAGGCGATCAGCAGCCGACGAGGAATCGGACAACGAAATTGCCTTTCAAAGTGCTCAACCCAAAGCCCCACGCGTTTTGACAATTTGTGGATAGGCCGTAAACTCTAGTCACATAGTTTTACGAACATCAAGTCTTCTGCTGCCTGCTTCCTGTATAAAACGGAATAATTTACGATGGTTACCAATGGCGGCGGCCACTTCCATCACTGAAACACGATGAGACCACCAGGATTCGCGGTCTCTCTTCAGGCTAGCAAGCAGTTTCTCTTTCAGGTCTTTGCGAGTTTCATTGTGTTCGCTTCCTGCCGGAATGTGCCGGCGAGCATCGAAAGTTCCAGAGACCACGAAGAGACTCAATGTCCATGTTGGCTATTAGACCACATGAGGATTTGCCTGCTGATCGTAAAGTCTGGTGAACATTCGACCAGTGACCTTCAATTGTATTCAGTGAGCGCTAACTCAGCCTAGATCCTAGCGTAATTCGGTATGGAATCAGAACATCCGGCTTCGCCAATTTGCTGGTGTCGATGCGACGATAAGACCGTTGTGCGCGTTCGCCAAAACATACCTGCAGATCAGCACATACAAGTGCATGGTCAGTGACCACACAGGTGCTCCAAATCGAGCGACAATTATGGATGCAGCCTTTCTAGCGGAAACGGATCACAATGTGATCGATTTGCGTCCAAACCTGGTGGGCGCTATGTCACCCTCCGGCGGGCGCTGTGTCGGAAGTTAGTGCTCACAAGAAATAAGCCAGAATCTTCACACAAATGTAGTAATCGCTCACCGTTGGCATTACGGGAGCGTACACCATATTGGCCACTCAACTTGAACGCCCAGATCCCCAGCCAGAATTACAGTGTCTGAGCTACTTCTGTGACGAAGGAGTTCGTTCAGTTGGCGAGAAAGTCGTCTTTTATTGAATCATCCCTACAGTTTGTAGGGAGAATAGACAGCGTTGACGAACAAATACCTATTAGTCCAGCGCGACTTCGAAGCTTTGAACGAGCAAGCTACTCGGACCGCACACATCCGGCAACTGACTGGGATCCAATCAATCAGAACAGCTTCAGCCCAGGGACTCAGGGCAATACCAACGCCAGCTTGGCCGGCACTCGAAGCTGCATCGTCTCCAGATAGGTGCAATGAGAAAGCACTGCCGGTGCCACCTGAAGGGGATCGCAAAGCGAGCACAGAGCTCGAGTCTTGCAAGCAGCTTTCCGATAAGCAGCAGATATCGATCGAAAGGGTCTCTAATGTTCGGGTAAATGCTGCCTGTTGAACGACCTGTAACAACGTGCGTACCTTGAGATATGCCAATCTGAGGGAGGATCGAGGGCTCCAAATAAAAGCCTATGAACTGGGTTTGACCGCTTGGGCTTGTCGATAGGGCAGGAGTGACGCTCAGCGTTTGCATGTGAGCTGAAACTAGAAGATAAACGCCTATCAAAGCAAGGTGGAGGGCCAAGAATTGGGGGTTTAAAACGGGGGGATACAAGTGAAGTTGAAACGGGACAATAATTGTGAAAAGGCGTAAGAGGTGAAATAAGAAGAGGTGAAGGCTTGAGCAGTAGCATCCGAACCTCTATCCACGCCGCTCGTGGATTATTCTCTTCCGCAGTTAGAGCATTGAGAAATTATTTGAATGAAAAGTTATGATGTAGTGCGTGGGTAGGATACTGTCAAATTGCCAAGGCCTAGACAGGAGGACGATTAGGGTTCTCAACCAAAGCTTTTGGTTCAAAAACTTGACCGCAATGCAGCGGGTTTGGCAGTGGGCTACAAGAAGTCCGTTTTAAGGAATAAGGAGTCACCCTCCCTTCAACCCGGACCTAGAGAACCAGGAGACTGATTTCGTCTGGCCTGTAACCATTGACTAATCTGATATGAGTGACCCCGAAGATACGAAAAAGACCACCCAGCACAGCTCAATGGATCACTGAGGCACGCAGACCATCGCATCACGGTAAGGTCCAGCCTCATTGCGATGGTAACAGAACTGATAAGAGTAATTATGATGAGGATGATGATGATTGCACCGACGACAGGAAGCCAAGACTAAGTAAAGTGCACAAGACGAGATCGGGAAACTGTAGACTAGTGAACACAAACTACACGCACGGTCTAGAGAGTGGAAACAAAACGCAAATTCCTGTTAGCGTGGTTCTATAGTGTAAAGGCAGTGAACAACTGGTGAATAGGTTCTCAATCGTAATGAAAAAGGGCAGAAAAAAGAAGAGGTACCAAAGTGTGAGGAAGCCCTGTGTATCAGTTCGCTAATCAACAGACTGTTAGATGTGGTTGACCTTGAGAAGTTGAAGATATGCATACGGTGGGAAATAAAAACGTTAAAAATTTTCAATAATGCATGTGTGTAAAATACTGTATGAAAGGAAGAGTAGGGTTCGGGCATAGCGATACTATGTCCTCAAATGGGCAATCCACTTCGGGTGGAGAATACCGGTTCTATTTGGACTTTACAATGATGATGGTGATGATGAACACTGCGTTGAATAATGTATTGTGAAAGCAAGTTGAAATTTAAATCAGTACAACTTCATCGAAATATGACCAAAAATGTTAAAAAAGGATACATCACCTGCCGATATTTCGTTTATCAAGCATGTCCGATTAACAGTGTCAATTGGTTCACAAATGTGATATCGTCGACAATGTGCGATCGTTCGCCGAAATGTAGATCCATTAAAATAGTGAACTGCCGCAAAGATTGAACTCCAACGACATGTTCTAGCAACAAACGGTTACCACTCTATGTCCGAAGCCCAATGATGGAGAACATGTTACGTATCAAGCACCACAGGCTTGTACTGTTGTCCACATGTGCTGAAGGTGTTCGAAAGTGAAGGAGTGGCCTCAGCATGGGGAAGTCAGGCAGATGTACTACGCAGTAGGTCACGATGGCATCGACTCGGAATCGAAGATAGGATAAAAGATCAAGTCCGTATTTCTCGCGCCGGTCTTTGTACGGTAACGCTTCGAAACTCGGAATAGGCCTCGTAGCGACGTGTTGAACATGTTCGATCTTCTGTTTCTCCCATCGGGTGGTCGGACAGTAGATAGGCGAACAGTACTTTAGCGTTGGCCTTAAAAAGGGGAACAGGCGTGGCAACTTCGTCAGACCAGAAAAAAACGTTGCATTTGAGCGCGCAAAGCATGCAGTCTGTTTTGGTGTACTCTGTTCGTGTCGCCCACGGATATCAAATCGCGGTGTAAGAGTACGCCAAGGTCCTTCAGCGAAGGTGTCGGATGTAGCGGTTGGCCGTCGACGGTGTGGAGTGTTCACTTATCACGCTTCCCAGGTTCATGAATA